ATTTACAACTTTCTTTAAGTATGGAAAATTTTCATCTATTTTCCCTGAACATTGCCTCCTGCCCTATTTTCTCCTTCAAGGAGTTCCTATTAGAGGAATATGGTATCTTCTCATCATGTCCTCTCTCTTAATTCTCTCATGCATTTTCCATCTCTTGATCCCTCTGAACGGCATTCTGTGTGATTATTTTTCAGGTAACAATGTCTAATGTCTAATTATGTCTAATATACTGTTTAATTTGCCTTTAAGCTTTTTATTTTGGTGACGATATTTTACATTTCTAAAAGTTTTGTTTGTATTTAAAAAATCCGCCTAGGTTTTCTTTATCATAGCTTATATATCTTTACTCATTTGTGTGTGTGTGTAGTTTTATGCAATCTTCTTTTTTTTTTAATTTTTATTTATTTATTTGACAGAGAGAGACAGAGAGAGACAGCGAGAGAGGGAACACAAGCGGGGGGAGTGGGAGAGGGAGAAGCAGGCTTCCTGCGGAACAGGGAACCCGATGCGGGACTCGATCCCAGGACCCTGGGATCATGATCTGAGCCGAAGGCAGATGCTTAACAACTGAGCCACCCAGGCGCCCCGGTTTTATGCAATCTTCTAACATGTATAGGTATGTGTAACCACCACCACGATGAAGATACAAAAGTGCCCCATCCCTGCAAGGCCCAGGCTGCTCTTAGAGCCACACCCACTTCCTTCACTCTGCCACCCTGTTCTTGACCTCTGGCAACCACAAATCTGTTCTCCATTTTTATCTTTTATTATATCAAGCATGTTATATACATTGGATAGTACAGTATATAACTTTTGAGATGGGCTTGTCTCACTCAGCATAATCCCCTTGAGATCTATCCGAGCTGTGTTTGTAATTAATAGTTCACTCCTTTTTATTGCTCAGTAGTACTCTATGGTTTGAATATACCATAGTTGTTTAAACTTTCACCAGCTGAAGACATCTGGGTTGTTTCCAGTTTTATGCTAATATGAGTAGAACTGTTACGACTATTCATGTACAGGTTTTGTGTGAACATAAGTTTTCATTTCTGGGGGCGCCTGGGTGGCTCAGTCTGTTGGGCGTCTGCCTTCGGCTCAGGTCATGATCCCAGGATCCTGGGATTGGTCCCGCATCAGGCTCCTTGCTCAATAGGGAGCCTGCTTCTCCCTCTCCCTCTACCTCTCCTGCTTGCTCTCTCTCAAATAAATGGATGGAATCTTAAAAAAAAAAAAAAAGTTTTAATTTCTCTGGAATAAATGCTCAAGGAGTTCAGTTGCTGGGTTATATGATAATTGCATGTTTAGTTTCAGATGAAACAGCCAACTCCACTGTATTCCAGAGTGGCTATGTCCTAGCACTGTGTGAATGATCCAGTTTCTCCGTATCCTCACCAACATTCTGATAGGAGTGCAGTGATATCTTGTAATGCTTTGCATTTCCCCAGCAGCTAATGATGTCTAGCACCTTTTCATGTGCTTGTCAGCTGTCTATCTTCTTGGGTGAAATGTCTGTTCATATCTTTTGCCCATTTTCTAAATGAATTTTTTTTTTACTGTTCAGTTTTTGAGAGTTTCTGTGTTGTCTAGATACAAGTACTTTGTTGAATATGTGGTTTGCAAATATTTTTCCCGAGTCTGTAGTTTATCTTCATCATTTCACAGGGTCTATTGGAGGGCAGAAGTTTAAAAGTTTGATGAGGTACAATTTATCAATTTTTCCTTTTAAGAATCATATTTTTGGTGTCAACTCCTTCGTCATTTTAACTTAAATATCTAGAATTCTCTTTCTGATTTGCTGTTATATCTAGTTCGTAGCACACAAACTCTTTCCATTGTGTGTGGGAGCTCTACCTCACACTGGTTCACTTCTTCGTCTCTTTTGTATATTATGAACTCATTTTGGAAGATATGAAATATTCTTTTTTTCTCATCGTAGTCCCTTGAACTGTAGGAGTCATTCTGCTTTGATGTTTTATATTTTCTCTTGCCAGGGCTTGAGAAATTTTGTGAATCCTAGACCAATTAGGGATTTCTATATCTTACGGGCACTAAAAATATGAATCCCACACCCTCATTTGAATAGTCTAGGGTTTTTATTCCCGCACTGGACATGTAATCGATCTAGTATTGGGCACAGAGCTTCTTCGCAACTTCTCTGGGCCATTGGGATACCTCTTTTTTTAGTTCCCTTGTCATGAATTTAATAGACTATCTTAGCAAAGTCCTAGTTCCAACACTCTGCCTTTTTCAAGTTGAGGGTCATGTATTTTTCCCTTCGTGGATGTCCAATTCCCAGCCTCCAGCCCTATGCCTTATATCAAAGTTCAGTATCCCACTTTGCCAGGTTACTACAGGATAATTGAAATCTAGTGCTCTGATTTTGAATCCACTTTTTGTTCTTGATAAAGTTTCCCTTTCTTCCTTTCTTTCTCTCAATCTTGACTAAATTTTTTGTATGATTTTGTACAGCATTTTAATATATTTGTAGTGAAAGTTGGTCCACAAAAGTTTAATATCCCATGCTGTCAGCACCAAAACACTCCACATGAGAATTTTAATCTTATAGAAAATTACATACAATCTGAGAGGTAGAGAATGAAAAATTAAGAATCCAGAGACTACAAGAAAAAGATAACAGTGATATTAAAATGACAAAAGTTTGACAGGGAAGCCCCTAAAATTTCTCCACTCACCAAAGTATGGGTTTCTATGCAAAGCATCAATTTTTTTCTTCTAAAATCTTCCTGACTGTTTATTTCTCTGATTCCATTCTCTTGAATAGACACGTTGATACTCCAGGGTATGCTGAACATAAAGAGTTCTAGGCCTTATCCCAAGCTTTGTTTCCTGAATATTCCTCCTCATACCCTCTCCTCCCCAACCCTGCACTGTAATTTTAGCTTGTTCTACCTTAGCAACAGGTTTCTGATTACCCAGTCACTTCCTGTGCCTATCATCTGGAAATGTTCTCTAAGCTTATCTCAACAACTTAGTGCTCATTTCACACCCATAATCCCTAAATTGCTTGGTATTCTTAGTTTCCCAATTCTTTATGCCAAAAAGTTTGGGTATGGGTAGAGTTCTGATAAGTGGGAAGAAAGGGAGGGGGGGTCCCATGCATGAAGGAATGTAAGAGATTGCCACAGCTAACGTGGAAGCAGAAAGGCCTCGTGTTGTAAAGTAAAACCATGGCTTAATTCTCATATTTCATTTTTTCTTCAGGGCCACACACATTTTTACTTCTCCATTTTGTGTAAGCAATGGTGCTTCTGATTAAAGTCCTCCAAAGGATTCGTATTGCACTTAGAACAAAATTTAAATTTCTTACAGTGGCTTACAAGGACCAACATGCTTTGGTCCCTGCCTAATCTCCATCTCATCTCTGAATGTTCCTTTCAATACGTAGATTCAAATCTTCTCTTATTTCTAGACATTTTTTCTTGGATTCTAATTTTAAATATTTCTTCTGTTTTAATGTTTTGTTTTTATTCTTCAGGGCCTCCCTATTATTCGTATGTTGGATCTTCTTTGCATATCTTCTATATTGACCTCTTTGAATCAACCTTAAATAAGTGGATATCACTTCAACTCATACATATACTGTGTGCCCAGTATGCTAGTGTGTACCTCTGTTAGGGATAAAGAATCAAACATGTTGCATTTTGCTTTTTATGGCCAATAATCTACATCTGGAGACAACTCACAGAAAAAATAGCTTGATAAGAAGAAAGGCTGTCAATACATGAGTAACTATGAAAACAGGGGTAAAGATATTAGATGATATAGGATGGAATTATGTAGTGACTCACAAAACTCAAAAGGGCTGCTACTAAAATCTAGGCTCACTAGGCTCCCATGTGTAGATCTTGTCTTTTCCATTTGTTTATCGATGCTTACATTAATCTCTATTTCAACACTGCTGACATTATATTTATACTTCACATTTTTTCATTCTTGTGCTGCTTTACAAGTTTTTCCCTGGCAGGTATCTGATGCTTTTTAATGTGTTCCCTCAGAATTTTGTGCAAACTTTTGTTGTAACATTAACTACTTGGGTTGTCCAGAGCAGGGGCCCTAAAATCTGATAGACCTGGGGCGGGATCTCAGCTCCACCACTTACTAGCTTTGTTGACCTCAACCAAGTTACCTACCCTATAGCTTTATTTTCTTCATGTGTCAAAGGGGGAGAAGAATAAAAATAGATTGTTATAAATATTACACTTGATAATGCATGTAAAGTGCTTAGTATGGTGTCTGGCATATAGTAAATGTCCACTTATCTTTACAGGCACCTCTCTGTCTCCCCTACTGTACTATGGTCTCTATGAAGACAGGAACACAGTCCCAGTAGGTTTGTTGAGTGAATTTGCAGTTCTATATAGTTGTCCTTTTTCTTGACCAAGTTCATATGCCATGTCGGTTCACTATCTAGGAGACTCTTTTATAGAGAATAGATCCCCAAAGAGCCTCTCTTGTGCTCATCTGGTAGGGCATGCTTAGGAGTAATAGTTATTGATACTTGTTCTCCCTACCTATGGTCTAGGAAATACTATTGATGGATTTCCCCCGATTTCTTGTGTCCGTGAAATTTTCTGGCCACTTTCCCTATTGAAGACATGCCTGTACTTTTTCGGGGATGGCTAATCATTTTTCTTTTAAATTCACCTTTAAAACCTTATTCCAGAGTACACTGTATGCAGCTGAATTTGCTTTCCAATTAGCAACTCTGAGACATATAGACACGCAACTATAGGACACACTCTCCTCTTTCCTATAGTTACGCCAATCCTGCTTTTCCCATGAAGTTTATTAAGAGTTTAAAGGGGGAAAAACGACCTGGCTCTCTTTCCCTTTGACTTACTGCAGTGATTAAAATAGTCCCTTTAAAAGTAATGTGTGGATACATTTATAGAAATATAGGTATAGTTATGGACACACTGGTTGTATATATGGATGAAAAAGTGTGGAAGAATATATCTCAAAAAGTTAATGATGGTAACCACTGGGTGGTGATATTATCAGTGTTTATTTTTTCTTTATACTTTTCAACATAAATCTTTGTTGGGTTGGTTTCCTTTCTGCTCTCACTTTAGCTGAGATAATTTTCTCAGAGACTGCTAATTGTCTTCAAAGTCCCTTTTCCCATTCTTCTTTAGTAATATAATTTTTAGCTGAGGACAGGGATGCCCAGAATAAACCCTACATTTTACAGCCTCTCTTGAAACTAGGTTTGAGCCATGTGTCTACATTCTGGTTGATGGGATGTCATTAGAAATGTCATGTGCAATTTGGGGGAAGGATCCTTGAATGGAAGATGTATTTTTTCCCCTTTCTTTATCCTTCTTACTGACTAAGAAGCAGATATAAGGGCTAGAAGTTGAACAGTCCTTTTGGATTATGAAGACAAAGGTCATACTGTCGGGATAGCAAACTGGAAAGCTGGAAGAAGTCAGCATCCATGACAACTTTGTGGACCTTGCCATGCCAGTTGTAGGCCTCTCATCTCTGGATATTTTACGTGAGAGCAACATGGATATTTAAGCCAATATTAATTTCAATTTCATGGTAGAGCCAAATCAAATCTCAACTGACATGGAATTAGTGTATCATTCCTGTTATGCTTTGCATGAAAGGTGAAGAATTCATATTATATGCTCTTCCCTGGACACACATTATGTAATCTCTGTAGGTGAACTGCTAAGCTTTGATTCTCATGCTGTTTTAAGATCGTTCGGTCACGACAGCCATTGCAGTACATTGAGCTCCATAGAGACAGTGCCGGGGCAAGTGAGAGCCAGACGGGCACTGGGCGACTCTGTGCCTTGCTGAGGAAAATAATTAAACATGGGCAAAGGAGATCCTAAGAAGCCAAGAGGCAAAATGTCATCATATGCATTCTTTGTGCAAACTTGCCTAGAGGAGCATAAGAAGAAGCACCCAGATGCTTCAGTCAACTTCTCAGAGTCTTCTAAGAAGTGCTCAGAAAGGTGGAAGACCATATCTGCTAAAGAGAAAGGAAAATCTGAAGACATGGCAAAGGTGGACAAGGCCCATTATGAAAGAGAAATGAAAACTTACATCCCTGCTAAAGGGGAAACAAAAAAGAAATTCAAGGATTCCAATGCATCTAAGAGGCCTCCTTCGGCCTTTTTCTTGTTTTGTTCTGAGTATCGCCCAAAAATCAAAGGAGAACATCCCGGCTTATCCATTGGTGATGTTGCAAAGAAACTGGGAGAGATGTGGAATAACACTGCTGCAGATGACAAGCAGCCTTATGAAAAGAAGGCTGCTAAGCTGAAGGAAAAATATGAAAAGGATATTGCTGCATACCGAGCTAAAGAAAAGCCTGATGCGGCAAAAAAGGGAGTTGTCAATGCTGAAAAGAGCAAGAAAAAGAAGGAAGATGAGGAAGATGAAGAGGATGAGGAGGAGGAGGAAGATGAAGAAGATGAAGATGAAGAAGATGATGATGATGAATAAGTTGGTTCTAGCGCAGTTTTTTTTTCTTGTCTATAAAGCATTTAACCCCCCTGTACACAACTCACTCCTTTTAAAGAAAAAAATTGCAATGCAAGGCTGTGTAAGATTTGTTTTTAATCTTACTTTTTTTTTTTTTGTATAGTTAACACACTACCGAATGTGTCTTTAGATAGCCCTGTCCTGGTGGTATTTTCTTTTTTTTAGATTTTATTTATTTATTTATTTATTTATTCGACAGAGACAGCGGGAGTGGGAGAGGAAGAAGCAGGCTTCCCCTCGAGGACCCTGGGATCATGACCTGAGCCGAAGGCAGACGCTTAACGACTGAGCCACCCAGGTGCCCCTGGTGGTATTTTCAATAGCCACTAACCTTGCCTGGTACAGTTTGGGGGTTGTAAACTGGCATGGAAATTTAAAGCAGGTTCTTGTTGGTGCATAGCACAAATTAGTTATATATGGAGATGGTAGTTTTTCATCTTCAGTTGTCTCTGATGCAGCTTCTACGAAATAATTGTTGTTCTGTTAACTGAATACCACTCTGTAATTGCAAAAAAAAAAAGTTGCAGCTGTTTTGTTGACATTCTGAATGCTTCTAAGTAAACACAATTTTTTTTATTAAAAAAAAAGAGATTGTTCCATCACGTAAAGCTCTAGTTCAATGGCCATGTCAGCACCCATTTCCCAGGAGACACATATGAGTGTTTGTGGCAGAACCCATTTGTAATAGCAAAAATTTAGAAACCACCGATGGACATGGTGAAATAAATTGTGGTACATTCCTGCTGTTGAATATTATATGACAGGGAAAAGGATGAACTATAATCATAACATTATTAATAAATCTTAGGAACATAATGTTGAGCCAGAAGAGTAAGTTCCAGAAGACAACATGTAAATTCAAAAGCAAATAAAGCTTGCATAAAGTTTAGGCCCAAACATATGTGTAATAAAATGTGTAGAAAAGCAAGGTTATGACAGAAGCAAAATTTAAGAGAGTGGTTACTACTGAGGGGACAGTTGGGGAATGCAATGGAAGAAGAAGGCATAAGTTAATGTAAGTCATGGGGGCCTTTTAGCTCTTGGGTTGAAAGGTGGGTCTGGGAGGTTTAGTATATTATTATAATACATATAGTATCAATCAATTAAATGAGGTTTATGAAAAGACCAAAGAACTAATCATAGTCCTTGACTCATGGCACACTATTAACATCAATCAGTATTATGATTAATCCAGTTGTGTGCTTCTGAAGTTCATTAAGCAATCGTAGTACTTACGAAGCTGCCTATTAGGTAGGCCTGGTTTTATTTCTATAAACCAGGCAATAAGCATGGATGCATTTCTATTTGTGTACCCAACTGTTTCCCTATCCAGGTTTTTAAAAATAAACTTTTTAGAATAGTTTTAGATTTTAAAAAAAAGTTGCAAAAATAGCACAGAATTGCTGCAAACCCCCCCCACCCCCCCACAACAACAACCCTGTTTTCCCTACTGTTAACATTTTACATTACTATAGTATGTTTGTTCCAATTACTGAGCTGGTGATGGTACATCATTATTGACCCTAACCAGACTGTAAGCTTCCTGAGAGCAGGGCTCGGGCATCTCAGCATTCCCTAGCATCGTGCCTCTATCCGGCTCCGCGTGTGTGGAGCTGATGAGGAAATTAAACTCACTAAATGACTAAATCGTCTGCAAGAATAAGCTCCGTATTTCATGATCATTTATCACTTGCTTTAAGCAGCTAAAGCTGCTTTGAGATAGAACCCTGAGCTAAGTTGGGTTTAATGTTCTTAAAAGTCATTGTTTTCTGAATTATTTACAAGTGTTCTCATTAGAATGAGCGCAGGGAGCCGAGTGCTGAAGTGGGTATTTTTTTTTTTCTTCCCTCGGTTTCTTTTCTAAATCAGGTCACAGAAAATGGATGCTATTTCTTTAAATAATATAACCAAGCTGATCCCTGGATTACAATTAGGTTACGTAACTTGCTTATGAGCTGCTTTTCATTAAGACTTGCAGTGGGCAATGGGGCTTTACATTTCAGAGCAAAGCTGGGAGAACAATTCCTGCTAAAAGCCCAAACACATGCGGTGTCAGAGGCAGGAACTGGAATAACATCGGCACGGGAATGAGTTCAATGTAGGCGGCTTCTTTTCTCTTTAAATCCTTAAAACATCCTTTGTCCTACCAAACTCCCTGGTTCCAAAGACATCTAAAATATAGGAGCTGAGGGCCCTCAAGGGGGGTGGGGGAGAGATCTCTGTGCTGGTCCCCAGGAGGCTGAGCAATGGAGAGTCCTCGAGGGAGGACATTATCAAGTTTCTGCAGAACTGTGGCTCAGTTTCATTTCTTGCAGAACACAAATTACTAGGAAACATTTTTAATATGTGGCCAGGGGAGGTAACAGAAATCCTACTATCCGCCTATAACTCTATCTTTGCAAATCGGCATTGCAAAGGTACAGGAAGTTAAAGTGGAAGGTGTTAGGAAACAAGAAGCTTGATGTCAAAGGAGGCAAGTCAGAGATGCTGGATGGGGGTTCGTCAAAACGCACAAACATCTGTTCTTAGAAGTGGAGAGAAAGCCAACTTTCCCCAAAAGGAAGTCGTTCATTGCTGTTGTGCAGGGTACTCACTATCAGATGAGACCATTTTTGATATAATATAAAAACCACCTCACAGAGATGATACATGCTGGAAATTGAAGGTTTACAAGTTAGAGTCAGCAGCAAAGCACTCTTGACAATAAGTGAGCAGGGAAAAGCTTCTGCTGGAGGGTGAACCAGAACAGCCTCCTGGAAAGAAAAGACAGTGTAACACCCAAATTCTACCAAATGCAAAATTCTTTTTTTGAAATGGAGTCACTGCATAGTGATTAAAATAGCAATCAGGAACAATTAAATGAACTTGGAGCCCTTTATGTACTTGAAGAAACACCTGCCATTTACTATCTGGGAATAGCCAAAGGGTAATTCTTTAAGCAGTTAAGCAGTTAAAGCTTGCTTCTTTTGATAAATGTGATCTCTTACAAATTCCCCAAGTTAGGACGGATATTTTATGATACAGCGCTATAGAATAATGAATACAGAGAAGTTTATTTCTTTCAACTTATACTTAACTTTAAAAGTTATGGTTAAGTTTCAACTAACATTTAATATTTATAGGTAACTTTTATAAGTTTTTAAACTTTAAGATAAACCTTTAACTATCAATAATATTACCAATGTGGTTGTAAACTGCATGCTTGAATGCAAAGCGGTTAATTCATTCTAATGGTATTGCACATTAATCTTGGCTTCAACGCAGTCTAAAACTTGCCTAAGCCCTGTTGGTTGCTGGGGAGTCTTTGATTCTTGTGTGTGTGTCTAATTTACTAATGAACTTGGTGTCATTTAGGGCTGAAGCAAGCACATCTGAACGGGTCTGGCTGCTCCTGGGCAGCTGGGGAAGGGCACCCACAGTGTTCTGAACAGAGTTGGAAGAACACCAGAGCTGAGATGAGTCAGAGCCTCTCAAAGTGTGTGGTGAGTCAGAATCAATGCCCCCCACCCTACCCCAGCTGTAACCAAAAAAAAAAAAGGAAAAAAAAGTTGGGGGGTGATTCTAAAAAGGAAACTATTAAAAGACACACCACACCACAAATCTCCTTCCTGTGATCCTTTGCACCCTGAGTGTTGTGGGCCTTGACCATTCCTAAGAAGGCACAGACCAGATGCCACAATTTAAGTGATGGCCAGAAGGAGAGCCAACAAAGCTAACTCTAATTCTTAACTGTAGCATGATGGACAATAAGGGGACAGACTGGCCAGCCCCTGCCACTGGGATGTGATCACTAGCAATGAATCTTGGGGACCCTGCAAGTGGTCCCAGGAGCCAGGGAGATGCATCAGGGAAAGTGTATGAGCCCTGGATCTTGGAGACTTGGGTGAAGTTTAATTCCTTCCTCTGTCACTTATGAGTGTGATATTGGGGCAAGTCACTTAAACACCCTGAGCTATATTTCCTTTATCTGAACGTAGTAATATTCTTTCTCATTAGGTGCTTGGTTTGGTGGGGTAGGAGGGAGGAGACTGCAGGTTTTTAAACAGGATTTCATGGTATTGCTTGGTTCAACACTGGGCCTGAAATGAAGGATTTACTCAATAAAGTATACGCTGCATGATTATCTAAGTGATCCTGCCACTGGATCATCCGGGTGGGGCTGTGCTTGATACCCGATGGACGTGTTTCCCAGGACCATTTCTTTAGATCCTCCCATATCCCCTAGAGATCAGAAGGTGTCTGTCTTCTAATCTGGGAATCATCTATGTCCTCTAAGGAAACATTACAAGTTTAACTACCTAAAGTATCAAAAGGCTCCGTCCAGTAACCTATTGATATGTGCAACCTTCCCCAAAATGGCTTACCCGCCATGAAAATTAACATCTTAATGATGGTGAGAAAGCCAGAGGCTTTTGAGCCTCATTTCATAGTCTTCATGCTCATTTTGGAGAAGTATCATTCAGCATTTTACTGAAGGCTCCTCCTCTGAAAGGCTTTGTTTTGGGTCCACCCAACAGAGAGAATTGCAGATAAGGCACAGAAGCCCTATCTAAAACCTACAATCTAATAGGAGGAAATGACTGTGCAGACGCTGGGGTGTCCAGAGGCAGGCCATGGGGGGAAAAGCATGAAGACAGAGTCGTGAGACACCGTCTTGCTAATTTCTGTCATTCTCACAGGCCTATTGTTCTGCTGTGCCCCAAATAATAATAATAATAATGCTAATGAGGTAAATAGTAATACTTTAATTGCGAACATCCGGAGTCCTTAACTGCATACCAAATGCTGTGATCAGAGCTTCAGGTATCCATACATTGCTTCCTTTAATTTTTACAACAACTCTGTTAGGTAGCTTCCCTCACTGTACCAGATTCCAGATAAGGGAATTAAGGCAAATATTATTCCCCCCCCCTCCCCGGGAGATGCTAATGACATTCATTTGCTTCTTCATCTGAATTTCAGCACCATATAAAAATTTGGGAAACAAAAATGGAAGAAAAATTTTATTTTGATTCTAGATGCTTCTAGAAAGGGGGAAAGAAGAACATTACCATGACCTGAGTGGTGATTATGTGGCACACACCTTCGCATACGTGATGTCATGTAATCTTCATTTCAAGGTGAAGAAACAGGTTAGAGAGGAAGGGAA